AGGGAAAGAAGCTTTCTCCCACCTTACAGCAGTGTCTGCTAGCCAGAGGTTACTAGGAGAGCTGAAACATACCAAGAGCCATCAAGGGATTATGAATGGGCTTTTCCACCATGACATTGCCCTAGACCTCGTTGATACGATGCTCCCTCCATCTCAGGCACGGCTAGTAGGAATTCAGTCAGTTTTGCAAGTCTTGGTTTTCACAAGAGCAGGAATTTGCCTTTGTGAGCTTGTAAGCTTACAAACCCCCACCTTTGTAAGACTGAAATGCCATAACACACAATTACATTAAGGATATGAAAAATCTAAATTAATTTTGTTCACCAAAGTTTGACTCTCAGGCACATAATCTAGATAATAAACTAGATAAGACAGATCATACATTTTTGAAAGTAAACTTAATTTGAGGTGGCTTCTGCATTTTTCCATTTTGTAGATCCACACTCCCACTCTGCATTAGATCAGTGTATAGAAGAGCTGTCCTATGTCAATGACCAATGAGCTTCTCTTAGATGAATGGCAGAGACCTAACTTTAGCATCACCTACTGCAGGAAGTAACTGAATTGAGCTCTTATCTCTCTGTGATCATATTTTTATTCTCTGCCAGAAAAATGTAGTAAACAAAAGCATCTTGCAGAACAGGATCAATTCCCACAGTTGCAGGTCTTTTAAGACACAAGTAATGTGGCCTGATGCCTCTGCTTCCTAAGACAGACTACTATAGCCTGGTTATCATTTCAAACCTCGGGACAGCAGTTCTGCAAAAGGTTATTGGTTTGTACAGGAACACTCTCAAGAACAGCAACAGCCAACATTTTTTAGGGGAGGCAAGTTTGACACATCTTTCTTCTTCCCCCAGACCCCTCTTTTTCCTCTCACATCCTTCATAATCTCCCTTTCTCTTCAACCCCCACAGCCCTCTTGTTCCCTAATGTGTCCATCTTTCTCTCACAAAATCTTCCCTCCTCAGAAGGATACCATTTCCTCCCTTCATCCAAGTTCTCCAAACTTCTAATTCTGTATTCCTTTATTTGAGAAACTCTGCAGCCCCTTTCTCCCAAATCACCAGGCTTTCTACCGCCTTAGAAATCTCTAGCTACCCCTCTATGGCCATTCAGGTAACTGTCTCTTCAGATACCCCTCTTCCCTCAAAGTTCATCAGAACCTTATGTCTATAATTGGCCTCACTTTGCTCCTTTTAGGATCTCCTTTTTCCTCTCTCAGTTCCTCCAATAGTTCCCCTTTGTCTCTTGAGGACTTCCAGACATTTTTTCTCTCTCCTTCTTCTAAATACCTCTCAATCAGATCCTACCAATCTCCTTGCCTCCACTCTCCTCACACCTTCTTGTACCTCTTTTTAGTTCTCGTCTCTCTTGTCCCTACAGTCCACTCTTGTCCCTACCTGCCCTCTTCCCTGGCTCTGTCCTGTAGGGCTTAGGGATTTTCTCATGAGATATGTTGTCCTCTTCCAGATTCCCTCTATACTTATTCCTTCTTCTCACCTCCCCCAGGTTTCTGTGAAGTATCTCTATCCCCTTCAAATGCCCCCCTCTGCAAGGATCCTCTTTCACAGTGCCCCCCAGCCCCATTCTCAAGACCCCTTATTTACTAACCAGATTCTTATCCAGTATTGTACTGTCTACGGTTTCTCTGACAATGACCTCAGATCCAAATCAGCTCCCCAACAAAACCTTTTCTCATTCCCTACCCAAGATATCACTTTCCCACTCTGCCTGTCCTCTCTGTGCCTGCTTCATAAAGGGAAGAAGAGGGAAAGCTGCTCTGATTTGAGCTTAAGACTGTTGCTTCTCTGCCCAGACACCCCTCTCTGCCTTTCCCCTGTGTATAGACCATCCAAACTGACAGGCAAGGAGAAATATGAGCTGGCTGCAGAGAAGATACCGAACCACTGTCATTTGCTAGTTCAGGAGTATGACAGGAAAAGTCCATAGAGCAAGAAGCTGCAGTGATACTTCCACAAAGCCACTCACATTAACTGTTTTCAGGTGAAGGATATAGTAGTGTTGGCTGAGTATTGCTAGCAACAGCAGGAGCTCTGCTATGTTCAGCTATCTTACCCACTGCTGCTAAGTCAGCCAAAAGTCAAGGAAACAAAACCAAGTTCTTTTTCCTAGCACCACCTTCCTCATTGTGAAAGTTCTTTACTCCTCTCATATTCATGCCTAATGGCTCATTTTTTGGCTTTTAACTGAAGGCTTTCTTATCACTGGAATCTTACCCCCTCTGCTTCTGGCTTTCTAGACAGCAATCCTTCCACAGACTCTTCGGCTCTTACAGCCATTTAAGAGCTGTTCTCCTACCTGATACTAACTGTCATGGGAAACATCTGCCTGGAGAGAACTCCTTCCTGGCTTGACAGAAGGGTCCCCGTCTCCCTCTATCTCCCCCTTCCTTCTGGTTTTGGAACAGACCTGGGAACAGTGGAGGCACAGCAGCATAGCCACATACAAGCAATGGGGGTGCAGTAGAGCTGAGCAGCATTCTTAGACCCTGGGAGAATAGGCACTTGGTCTTGATGTACAGGGAGGACATGTCTTCGAAGAAAGCATCAGTAGATTGCTGAGGAGTCAAAGGTAAGGGAGGGGACACTGGTGAATGATACAGTGATGAGGAGAACTGATAAATTTGTGAATTAGCCACTAAGGCCTGAAGTTTATTGAGTCAGCAAGATGAAGGGAGTGGACTAGAAAGAGCTTTCACCAACTGTCAGGATCGCATAAATATCCCCTGAAACAGGGAATTTTGAATATACTGGGTGGGAAACAATTTTCTCATCCCATAAGAATTTCAGAGATTGAGGGGAAGGGAAGGAAATTGTCACAAATAAAGATGAAAAGTAAAAAAAAAAAAAGCAAGCTTGAAAAACAGAACTTTTACATGTAAAAATGTTGAAAAAGACACTTCAGCTATTTCAAATCATTTTTATATTTTTTCAAGACACATCAGATCCACCTTTCTTATGAACAACTTTTGTTTCAACAAATCAGCATTTAGTGATGGAAAAATGTTTCCCCACTAAAATTCTCAATTGGATCTAATTCTTAGTTGGGCTTTTCAGAAGCATTAAGCCTTGATCTCTGCATTAACCTGCATTGTTTCATTACAGAACAAAAATCCAATGCACAAACATATCCCTACAGTCTTAGACACACATAATATTCTTTAATTTTCTGTTGCAGGATGCATACTAAAGCACCCATGAATCAGTGT